AGACCAAGCACTCTTTTTACAAGAGGCGATCTGACCACGTGTGACGAAAACAGTTAAGCAGAAAGGGAGGCGATTAGTTTTAGTCAAAAACAAGAAAGGCAAGCTAACTTCGGGCGGAGCCGAAGTTGATATACCCTTGCAGAATACTCTGTAAATTATATTCTCCAAAATTATTCATATGATGCATTCTTAATACTCATAAAAAATCCCAACATCCTAACTTTAAAAACACCAAAGTTATAGCATTTCCAATCGTTCAGTTATATGGCAGCTATAAGATATAGTCGACCGATCCTTATGAACTTTGGTAGGTCGGATTGATTGGCCAAAAATAAAACCCATAGAAAATCCTAACTTCCTAACTTAACAAACACCAAAGTTATGGGATTTCAGATCAATCAGTTATATGGCGGCTATAGGATATAGTCGGCCGATCCTTATGAAATTTGGTAGGTCGGATTGATTGACCAAATATAAAACCGATAGAAAATCCCAACTTCCTAACTTTACAAACACCAAAGTTATGGCATTTCCGATCAATCAGTTATATGGCAGCTATAAGATATAGTCGGCCGATCCTTATGAAATTTGGTAGGTCGGATTGATTGGCCAAATATAAAGCCCATAGAACTCCACCATTTTCTTTAATCTCATTTCACAAAAAAAACAAGAAAGGAAAGCTAACTTCGGGCGGAGCCGAAGTTGAAATACCCTTGCAGAATATTCTGCAAATTATATTCTCCAAAATTATTCATATGATGCATTTTTAATACTCATAAAAAATCCCACCTTCCTAACTTTAAAAACACCAAAGTTATTTCATTTCCGATCAATCAGTTATATGGCAGCTATAGGATATAGTCGGCCGATCCTTATGAAATTTAATATGTCGAATTGATTGGGCAAAAATAAAACCCATAGAAAATCCCAACTTCCTAACTTTACAAACACCAAAGTTATGGCATTTCCGATCAATCAGTTATATGGCAGCTATAAGATATAGTCGGCCGATTCTTATGAAATTTGGTAGGTCGGATTGATTGGCCAAATATAAAACCCATAGAAAATTCCAACTTTCTAACTTTACAAACACCAAAGTTATGGCATTTCCGATCAATCAGTTATATGGCAGCTATAAGATATAGTCGGCCGATCCTTATGAAATTTGGTACGTCGGATTGATTGGCCAAATATAGAACCCACAGAAAGTCCCAACTTCCTAACTTAACAAACAGCAGAGTTATGGCATTTCCGATCAATCAGTTATATGGCAGCTATAGGATATAGTCGGCCGATCCCGGCCGTTCCGACTTATATACTGCGTGCAAAGGAAAGAAGGGTGTGTGCAAAGTTTCAACTCGATAGATTTAAAACTGAGAGACTAGTTTGCGTAGAAACAGACAGACGGACAGACGGACAGACGGACATGGCTATATCAACTCAGGAGGTGATCCTGATCAAGAATATATATACTTTATAGGGTCGGAGATGTCTCCTTCACTGCGTTGCACACTTTTGACCAAAATTATAATACCCTCTGCAAGGGTATAATAAATAGAAAAATAATAACTTTTTTGTCAAGCGCTTGGGTAAGCAGACCAAGCACTCTTTTTACAAGAGGCGATCTGACCACGTGTGACGAAAAAAGTTAAGCAGAAGGGGGAATAGCAAGGGAGGCGATTAGTTTTAGTCAAAAACAAGAAAGGAAAGCTAACTTCGGGCGGAGCCGAAGTTTATATACCCTTGCAGAATACTCTGTAAATTATATTCTCCAAAATTATTGATATGATGCATTCTTAATACTCATAAAAAATCCCAACTTCCTAACTTTAAAAACACCAAAGTTATGGCATTTCCAATCGTTCAGTTATATGACAGCTATAGGATATAGTCGGCCGATCCTTATGAAATATGGTAGATCGGATTGATTGGCCAAATATAAAACCCATAGGAAATCCCAGCTTCCTAACTTTACAAACACCAAAGTTATGGCATTTCCGATCGTTCAGTTATATGGCAGCTATAGGATATAGTCGGCCGATCCTTATGAAATTTGGTAGGTCGGATTGATTGGCCAAATATAAAACCCATAGTAAATCCCAGCTTCCTAACTTTACAAACACCAAAGTTATGGCATTTCCGATCAATCAGTTATATGGCAGCTATAGGATATAGTCGGCCGATCATTATGAAATTTGGTAGGTCGGATTGATTGGCCAAATATAAAACCCATAGAAAATTTCAACTTCCTAACTTTACAAACACCAAAGTTATGGCATTTCCGATCAATCAGTTATATGGCAGCTATAGGATATAGTCGGCCGATCCCGGCCGTTCCGACATATATACTGCGTGCAAAGGAAAGAAGGGTGTGTGCAAAGTTTCAACTCGATAGCTTTAAAACTGAGAGACTAGTTTGCGTAGAAACAGACAGACGGATAGACGGACAGACGGACATGGCTATATCAACTCAGGAGGTGATCCTGATCAAGAATATATATACTTTATAGGGTCGGAGATGTCTCCTTCACTGCGTTGCACACTTTTGACCAAAATTATAATACCCTCTGCAAGGGTATAACAAGAAAGGCAAGCTAACTTCGGGCGGAGCCGAAGTTGATATACCCTTGCAGAATACTCTGTAAATTATATTCTCCAAAATTATTCATATGATGCATTCTTAATACTCATAAAAAATCCCAACATCCTAACTTTAAAAACACCAAAGTTATAGCATTTCCAATCGTTCAGTTATATGGCAGCTATAAGATATAGTCGGCCGATCCTTATGAACTTTGGTAGGTCGGATTGATTGGCCAAAAATAAAACCCATAGAAAATCCTAACTTCCTAACTTAACAACCACCAAAGTTATGGGATTTCAGATCAATCAGTTATATGGCGGCTATAGGATATAGTCGGCCGATCCTTATGAAATTTGGTAGGTCGGATTGATTGACCAAATATAAAACCGATAGAAAATCCCAACTTCCTAACTTTACAAACACCAAAGTTATGGCATTTCCGATCAATCAGTTATATGGCAGCTATAGGATATAGTCGGCCGATCCCGGCCGTTCCGACTTATATACTGCCCAACAAGTTGGCTTTACAACAGAGAGTCTGGGCAAATAGAAAATAGCAATCAGAGCAGCTGTTTCGCTGTGCCAGGTCGTTGACCGCTTTTACTCTCACGCGACAGCAAATAAAAAGAGAAATTAAATAAGAGTTTTGTAAATTCAGAGTTCACTGACTCTTTTGGAATAGCTTAGGTGAGAGAGAGGCCAAAGAGAGTGTTTAAGCTTTCTGATCAAAGTATCTTAAGCTTGGAGCATCACAAGCGAAACTCTCGATATCTTAGATAGGAAGAGCACTGGAGTTACTTACAAAACCAAATGTGGACACGAGTTCCACAAGTCCTGTATAGCGGCTCACTCGAAAGCAATAGCAACCTGTCCGACCTGCAATACGGTGTGTTTTGAAGTGCAAGGATCGGCGGCTGGGACGAGTCAAAAGGCAAAAATGGCGACGGCTAGAAAGGATCCACCTGTCTCAGAAGCTGCAGCGGTTAATGAGGCTTCAGTCAGCACAGAAGCAATAGGGACAATAGTTGCTCAGGCAGTTATTTTGACACAATTATCGGAGCAGATGGCTCAATTAATTCAGTCCAATGTAGCTGCACATCTCGGTCCGTTAGCAGGAGGTCACGTAAACAGGGATCCGACTCCAGATCCCATTGTGCATAATGTAGAGCGGCGGGGATCAATAATGTCCGATGCGGCGGCCGGATAAAGTCGGCCACATCATGAACGGGTGGAAATTAAAATTTAATGGCAGCGCGGATGGAATTAGTGTTGATAACTTTATTTATAGAGTTGAATCACTAACCCACCAAACTTTGGAGAGTAAATTCGAATTAGTATGCAACAACGCCTGATGGGCTCTAAAATTGCAAGGCTTCAGCTTTAAGATTAAGCATAGAAGTGGCAAATTAAACGTTGTACCGGATGCTCTTTCCAGGATGAATGAGGATAGCGTGGCGGCCATAGAAGATAGTCAAGGTCTTCTGGTCGACTTGGAGTCGCCAGCTTTCAGGTCAAGTATTATGTGTCGTTGATGGAGCGAATAAGGGCAAATGAGGATAAACTACCGGATTTCAAGGTTGTGGATGAGCGCTTATATAGAAAAACCGAACATGCTACGGGTGAAGTTTTACACGACAACTACATATGGAAACTATGGGTTCCTTAAGATTTGGTACAGGAAGTGTTAAACAAAGCACACGATCAGCCCTTAGCATCGCACGGAGGCATCCACAAAACGTTGGAGCGGGTGCGTAAATATTATTACTGGCCGAGTCTGGTTAAAGACGTGAAGGTCCATGTGCTGGCTTGCGAGATTTGTAAGACGACTAAGGCTGCGAATAAGATTCAGCGACCGCCTATGGGAGCACCGGCAGAATCGCAAAGATTTTTCCAGAAGTTGTACATTGATTTTTTGGGTCCGTATCCCAGGTCGAAAAGTGGCCACATCGGCATTTTTATTGTGCTAGACCACTATTCTAAATTTGTATTTTTGAAAGCCGTGAAGAAACTGACGGCGGATGTGGTAATAAAATATCTTCAGGAAGATTTGTTCCACACGTTCGGAGTTCCGGAGACCATTATCTCGGACAACGGATCCTAATTCAAGGCGGAGATTTTTTAAAAGTTTATCAGAACTAACAAGGTATCGCACACTCTGACGGCGGTATATTCCCCTCAAGCTAACGCCTCAGAAAGAGTTAATCGTTCGGTGATCGCAGCAATACGCTCTTATGTGAAGCCTGATCAGAAGAACTGTGACGAACAGCTCAGTAGCATTTGTTGCGCGTTAAGGACGGCAGTGCATTCCAGTATAGGAACTTCTCCGTATTATATGGTGTTTGGACAGCAGTTTGTCGGCTCAGGAGCTACATACAAATTATTAAGAGCTCTTCGCCTATTAGACGACAGATCGACAATGCTTGCAAAAGAAGATTCATTGGATCTGGTAAGGAGCAAGGCTTTGGAGGTGATGGCGAAGCAACGAGACAAAAATGAGCGGGCTTACAATTTGAGGTCGCGAGAAGTGTCGTATGCCGAGGGACAGGAAGTGTTCAGGAAAAAATTTAAGCAGAGCAATTTTCAGGCAGGGTATAACGCTAAACTTGGTCCAGCTTATTTGAAGGCGCGGATAAGGAAAAAGATAGGTAATTCCTATTACGATCTTGAGGATTTGCAGGGTCGCTCTGTGGGTCGCTACCATGCGAAAGATCTCAAGCAATAGCTGTGCCAAGCTTTGGTGGTATCAGTCTTGGAGGTATGACCCCCAAGTCTGATCTTGCGTGGGGGGTTTTTTTTTGTAACGCTTGTCCCAGCAGAACAAGCTGAGAGTCCCGCCCTCTATGAGAGAAGAACACGAGGTTGCAGGCGCCATCTAGGAGAGAGATGTTCGAAGTCGAGGTCGCCGGTCAAATTAGAAGGGTTATTTAACAGGGCCGAATGTCAGGCTTTCTCCGGAGGGAAAATTCACCTTTGGGAGAGCGGCATGGGTTCCCGCTTAATTCGGGGCGTCCATTCGTTCTGTTCTCTTTTGGCGGCCGGAGGATCCAGTCAAGTCAGCTCAGTAATTTAAAAGTTAGAACAAGAGTGAAGAAAGACTTGCGGTTAAGTAAAAATCGGGCTAAAAGTCAGTCATTTCGCAAGTGATCCCTCAGTTGGCCCGGGAAGTGAGTTGTTTTAAAATTTGTGTTGCCGAGCCCTCAGAAAAGGTGAGACATTAAATGAAAAAAAAAACCAGTAAGTTTAGTCAGTAACAGATAGCGTTTTGTCGCCATTAGGGTTCGGCTAAACTGTTTCTCGACAGCGGCGGAGGAATTCGCAACAGTTCGCTGGCGGCAGAAGAAGTGCGTAAAATTCACCTGCGCGAAGGTTTGCCGGCCAAAGACAGGTCTAGGTTTAAAGGCCGTAAACGCAGAAGTCCCAGAGAAATTAGCCGCAGGAGTTAACAAAAAGGATGAATATCTAAGCCGAATTTTCGTCCACCGTCTATATAGGCCATTAAGAAAAGCCTTACCATTGGCTTTTCTTCGTTGTGTTCCAAGGAGCCGCACTACGCAAAACGGATGGCGAGAATGCTCCCAAGTTAATTTGTCTGCGCATATATAAGCAATAAAAGAAGCAAGACAGAAAGGCACCGAGAAAAAAAAAATGTTTAAAGTAATTTAAGATTAGAATAGTTTTTTTTGTTTTATATCTAAGTAAACCAAGAGAAAGTGCGAGAAAAATCGTTGGAAAACAAAAGAGAAAAATAATAGTCCGTCAAAAATATGTAATAGTCCGAGCAAAGAAAATGTAAAAGAAAAAAAATGCGCACGGATCTTGGCGAATTTAAAAAAAAAAGAATAATTTGGTGTTAGCCATACATTTAGAGAATTTTTTTTGTATAAAATTTTAACTCCTACAGCTTCGATCTCCACGGCCAAAGCGCTTTCTCCGTTGGACGTCTATGAAATGTTCGGGTGAGTGACTCGGTGGCTTATACTCCGATGTATTACTTTATTTACCTAAATATTTAAATTAAAGGAAAAATGCACAAAAAATCTAAATTAAAACAAGCATATTAAAAATCAAAAGAAAAGACAGCAACAAAACTTGCCAATCTTTTTCTTTGATCCGTTTGCATTAGTCTGTTTATTAAATGTCCCTTGCTTGACGAAACATAACGCGATTTTCAATTCTCTTTTGTCATACAAAATTTTTATGTCCAATTTAAACACTTTCACATTTATTATTTCTTTATTACACACATAAATCCATTACACGTACATTGTATTTCATTATTTCATTTATTTATATCATGTTTAGTTTAAACCATTTTATTAGTCTCTAAGGAATAAAATAACTATAATGTTCTAGACCGAGTAGTTTTGCCTTCGGCTAGTGAGATCGCCCTGTGAAACCCAAAGGGGCCATTCACCAAAGAAAAAAACAAAAAATTTAAAAATTCCATTTGACTATGGGAATGCAGAGAATGGCCAAGGCAGGGAGGGGCATCAGTAATCCCACAACATCTGGGGTTAAATAGTTGTCCGATCGTGCATGTTCAATAGCCTAGTTTCAATATGTGTTTGTGTTGTGTTGTGGTCCTCCCGATGTAACTTGTCGTAGCACGCAAAATATCGAGAATAATAATGTAAAAACAAGAGAGAACGCTATAGTCGGGTGCCCCGACTATCAGATACCCGTTACTCAGGTAAAGGGAGTGCGAGGGAGATGGAGATAGAAACTTTGATCACGCATAACTTTTTAACGAATGGTCCGATTTGAAAAATTTCGATAGGTATTGATAAACACAATAAAACTGAATTTTTACTTTTCCGAAATATTTAAATTTTTAAAATCGTATATTAGCGATTGTGGGCGTTAAAGGGGGCGTGGCACCTTTTTGAAACAAACTTGGGCTGCGTAGGAACTCCTAGAATCTGCATGCAAAATGCCAATCTTCTAGCTTTTATAGTTTCCGAGATCTCAGCGTTCATACGGACGGACAGACGGACATGGCTATATCGACTCGGCTAGTGACCCTGATCAAGAATATATATACTTTATAGGGTCGGAAACGCTTCCTTCTAGCTGTTACATACCTTTGCACGAATACAATATACCCTTTTACTCTACGAGTAACGGGTATAATTAGGTACCTCAGGGAAAGGACGGCAAAAATACCACCCCATTAGCCGACGAGCAAGTAGCCGGAGAATTATGCGTGCGCCTGTCTCTTCCCATCCCAACACCAACCTAAGCAATTCGTTACCAAATAAGAAGACGAACTTTTTGTACAATAATATTATGGAGTTTTGTTAATTTAAGTTACGTTAATTTTTGTTGTTATTTCTTTTGTTTTATGAACCTTTTTTATTTACTTTATAATAAAACGTCATAACAACAACTTTTTTTGTACTGAACATTTTTGTGGACTACTTTCACAAAGCCGCCTCTAGGAGTCCAAGTATTAAGTCCTATAAAACTCAATCCGTGAAAACTTAAAAAAATTTTCAAAACAAACCTTTACTTTTAAGACATATCGAACGGTTCAATTAAAACTGGTCGTTACATTTGCACATGAACATTAGTCATATTTATATTTATACCCGTTACTCGTAGAGTAAAAGGGTATATTGTATTCGTGCAAAAGTATGTAACAGGTAGAAGGAAGCGTTTCCGACCCTATAAAGTATATATATTCTTGTTCAGGATCACTAGCCGAGTCGATCTAGCCATGTCCGTCTGTCCGTCTGTCTGTCCGTCCGTATGAACGCTGAGATCTCGGAAACTATAAAAGCTAGAGGATTGGCATTTTGCATGTAGATTTTAGGAGTTCCTACACAGCGCAAGTTTGTTTCAAAACGGTGCCACGCCCCCTCTGACGCCCACACGCCACAAGCTGTGGCCACAGTTTTGATGCTATTATGAAAATTTTAATTGATATGTATTTGTTTTGTCAATACCTATCGATTGGCCTAATAAAAGTTTGCCACGCCCACTCTAACGCCCAAAAACCCATTAAACGCTTAGGCCTGGCTAGCGCCTACATTTCTACATGGGGTAGATGGCGCAATACAATAGCGCCATCTAACGGATGACTTTGGAACAGCTGGCCAAGGTGCTCAACAGAGTCAACGTTAATTCTCGATAAATCAAATCAAGTTAGCCAAATTGGAGGTCTGAGTCAAACAATGTCGTATGTGTGTATGTATGTAAGCATATACATATGTATGTATTTACATTGTATTAAGTTCCGGGTAACAATTGCTATTACTTAAGTGATTTGCCCGCTTGTATAGATACAAACATTTAAATATATGTAAATCTGTTGGCCCAGCACATATGTACTACCATGAATCTTCGACTGCGCAAACTACTTGTAAACATCAATTTTAATGTAATTCTTGTACTTATGTTTATTTATTCATAAAAAGGCACTAAAATGTGCTAACGCCGTTTGTATTCGAGTTCTCGCAATTGCCCACCTGGACAAGAATCGGTCCATATTAGTTTTAACCTAGACATTTTGTTGTATTTGTTTAAAAAAAAACTCCAAACTTCCAATTTTAGTTATACGTATTTATGTTGTCTTTAGTTTAATAGTTTAAATAAACTTTCTTTTGTTATACCCTTGCAGAGGGTATTATAATTTTGGTCAAAAGTGTGCAACGCAGTGAAGGAGACATCTCCGACCCTATAAAGTATATATATTCTTGATCAGGATCACCTCCTGCGTTGATATAGCCATGCCCGTCTGTCCGTCTGTCTGTCCGTCTGTCCGTCTGTCTGTTTCTACGCAAACTAGTCTCTCAGTTTTTAAGCTATCGAGTTGAAACTTTGCACACAGCCTTCTTTCCTTTGCACGCAGTATATATGTCGGAACGGCCGGGATCGGCCGACTATATCCTATAGCTGCCATATAACTGAACGATCGGAAATGCCATAACTTTGGTGTTCTTAAAGTTAGGAAGTTGGGATATTTTATTAGTATTAAGAATGCATCATATGAATAATTTTGGAGAATATAATATACAGAGTATTCTGCAAGGGTATATCAACTTCGGCTCCGCCCGAAGTTAGCTTTCCTTTCTTGTTTTTTGGGGTGTGATTGATCAAAGAGGATAAATATTACGTTTCTTTTTTTTTTGTATGTTGATTCTAAGTAATTGATTTTGATTCAAAATAATGTATTAAAAATATTTATTAACAAGAAAGGAAAGCTAACTTCGGACGGAGCCGAAGTTGATATACCCTTGCAGAATATTCTGTAAATTATATTCTTCAAAATTATTAATTTGATGCATTCTTAATACTCATAAAAAATCCCAATTTCCTAATTTTAAAAACACCAAAGTTATGGCATTTCCAATCGTTAAGTTATATGGCAGCTATAAGATATAGTCGGCCGATCGTTATGAAATTTGGTATGTCGGATTGATGGCCAAAAATAAAACCCATAGAAAATCCCAACTTCTTAACTTTACAAACACCAAAGTTATGGCACTTCCGATCAACCAGTTATATGGCGGCTATAGGATATAGTCGTCCGATTCTTATGAAATTCGGTAGGTCGGATTAATTGGCCAAAAATAAAGCTCATAGAAAATCCCTTCTTCCTAACTTTAAAAACACCAAAGTTATGGCTTTTCCGATCGTTCAGTTATATGGCAGCTATATGATATAGTTGCCCGATCCGGCTCGGTCCGACTTATATACTACCTGCAATAAAAAGACAACTTTTGGGAAAGTTTCAAGCAGATAGCTTTAAAACTGAGGGACTAGTTTGCGTAGAAACGGACGGACGGACGGACAGACGGACAGACGGACATGGCTAGATCGACTCTCGTGGTGATGCTGATCAAGAATATATATACTTTATAGGGTCGGAAATGTCTCCTTCACTGCGTTGCAAACTTTTGACTGAAATTATAATACCCTCTGCAAGGGTATAACAAGAAAGGAAAGCTAACTTCGGGCGGAGCCGAAGTTGATATACCCTTGCAGAATACTCTGTATATTATATTCTCCAAAATTATTCATATGATGCATTCTTAATACTAATAAAATATCCCAACTTCCTAACTTTAAGAACACCAAAGTTATGGCATTTCCGATCGTTCAGTTATATGGCAGCTATAGGATATAGTCGGCCGATCCTTATGAAATCTGGTAGGTCGGACTGATTGGCCAAATATAAAACCCATAGAAAATCCCAGCTTCCTAACTTTACAAACACCAAAATTATGGCGTTTCCGATCAATCAGTTATATGGCAGCTATAGGATATAGTTGGCCGATCCCGGCCGTTCTGACATATATACTGCGTGCAAAGGAAAGAAGGGTGTGTGCAAAGTTTGAACTCGATAGCTTTAAAACTGAGAGACTAGTTTGCGTAGAAACAGACAGACGGACAGACGGACATGGCTATATCAACTCAGGAGGTGATCCTGATCAAGAATATATATACTTTATAGGGTCAGAGATGTCTCCTTCACTGCGTTGCACACTTTTGACCAAAATTATAATACCCTCTGCAAGGGTATACAAATTGTCAATAAAAACATTTTTGTATTTTTATACCCGTTACTCGTAGAGTAAAAGGGTATATTGTATTCGTGCAAAAGTATATAACAGCTAGAAGGAAGCGTTTCCGACCCTATAAAGTATATATATTCTTGATCAGGATCACTAGCCGAGTCGATCTAGCCATGTCCGTCTGTCCGTCTGTCTGTCCGTCTGTCTGTCCGTCTGTCTGTCTGTCTGTCCGTATGAACGCTGATATCTCGGAAACTATAAAAGCTAGAAGATTGACATTTTGCATGTAGATTTTAGAAGTTCCTACGCAGCGCAAGTTTGTTTCAAAATGGTGCCACGCCCCCTTTAACGCCCATAATCGCTTAAATACGATTTTAAAAATTTTAATATTTCGGAAAAGTAAAAATGCAGTTTTATTGTGTTTATCAATACCTATCGAAATGTAGAAGAAACTTTTCAAATCGGACCATTCGTTAAAAAGTTATGCGTGATCAAAGTTTCTATCTCCATCTCCCTTGCACAGCCTTTACCTGAGTAACGTTCTCTCTTGTTATTTTTTATTTAGCTCAAATTAAAACTTAATTTGATACTAGGGGTTTTATGTGCTGAATTTTAACGACTTTTTTTGCATAGATACGTAAAATGACTCCTAAAGTACCAACAGAAAAAAATAATTATCCGTACCGTCAGATAAAGACATTTCAGACCCAATAAAGTATAAATTTTCTTGATCAAATGACTATTCAAATTTTGTAGGGACTTCATAGGCGTATACAAAATTAAAAACCGGTCCAAACCTTGTTTGATTTAAATTTTATTTGTTGTGCAAAATTTGACGAAAGCTAAATAAAATGTTTTAAAAACGTGAATGTTTGTTAGTAAAAACAATAGAACATCGACTTCTAGAATATGGATTTTTAAAGCCTTAACAAATATCGGCTAAGCTGCAATTGAAAGAAAACTTAGTGATTTTGCTCAGGCATGTACAATATCGCCAATAATTTCCATGCATATATCCCTAGGACGTTTAACTCCAGCTTTGTCAAAGGCAGAAAACATTATTACAACCTTGTGACGTCCCACAGTTAGAGGCACTGCGAAATTTATCAGTATTCTCTGAAAAAAAGGTTCCACCACTAAAACTGTCTGAAAAAGTCAATAAAAATAACTAAGAAATTAAAATTAAATTAAAACATCCTTACTCCAGGGTTGGTTAGGCATTTCTCCTTCACTTCATCCTTGTTAATTACGTGTTCAGTCGAATAGGGATAATAAATTGTCTTCTTGTCGTAAAATGACCTGCAGAAATCTTTATCACTTGCTTTTAAAACAGTTGGTTTCCAAATTCCACCTTCCAATTTTAATAAGTAGCCTTCGACCTGAATTATAATTGATTTGGAGATAATCAAGCTGCTTTATTGAAGAAAGTGAAGGCTTACCGCGACACGATCTGATGGTTCGACATCCCATACCATAGTAATGTTCCCTGATATATAAGTTCCACCATTTTTACCCCTTTTACGGCTGAGAAGGGAAAAATCTCCAAATTTATCCATATAATCAAATCCTGGCTTGTCCTGGCACTCACTAAACAAATCTTCCCTCTCAGGTACAAATTCGTTATTCATTTCAAATGAAAGCCTTATTACTTGCAGGAAGATAAGAATCTTACAAAACAAAGACTGTTCGCGGACCATGATGCACAATTTTTCGGAATGATTTTTATGTTTCGGCCTCTGGTGCTTATATAGGTGTAAAATGTAAGTTGTAAATTTTGTAAGTATTACGTAAATTCGAACGTCAGTAATTGGTAATTGTCACGCGCTTGATTTAAGTTAACAAGAAACTTAAAATTTAAAAATGATATAGAGATAAGATTACAGTCTGCTCTATTAATTATTGTTTAGCGTGCTAGTAAATGGTTTTATTTAACATCTATCCAAACAAGAAAGGAAAGCTAACTTCGGGCGGAGCCGAAGTTGATATACCCTTGCAGAATACTCTGTAAATTATAATCTCCAAAATTATTCATATGATGCATTCTTAATACTCATAAAAAATCCCAACTTCCTAACTTTAAAAACACCAAAGTTATAGCATTTCCAATCGTTCAGTTATATGGCAGCTATAAGATATAGTCGGCCGATCCTTATGAACTTTGGTAGGTCGGATTGATTGGCCAAAAATAAAACCCATAGAAAATCCCAACTTCCTAACTTAACAAACACCAAAGTTATGGCATTTCAGATCAATCAGTTATATGGCGGCTATAGGATATAGTCGGCCGATCCTTATGAAATTTGGTAGGTCGGATTGATTGACCAAATATAAAACCGATAGATAATCCCAACTTCCTAACTTTAAAAACACCAAAGTTATAGCATTTCCAATCGTTCAGTTATATGGCAGCTATAAGATATAGTCGGCCGATCCTTATGAACTTTGGTAGGTCGGATTGATTGGCCAAAAATAAAACCCATAGAAAATCCCAACTTCCTAACTTAACAAACACCAAAGTTATGGCATTTCAGATCAATCAGTTATATGGCGGCTATAGGATATAGTCGGCCGATCCTTATGAAATTTGGTAGGTCGGATTGATTGACCAAATATAAAACCGATAGAAAATCCCAACTTCCTAACTTTACAAACACCAAAGTTATGGCATTTCCGATCAATCAGTTATATGGCAGCTATAAGATATAGTCGGCCGATCCTTATGAAATTTGGTAGGTCGGATTGATTGGCCAAATATAAAGCCCATAGAAAATTCCAACTTCCTAACTTTACAAACACCAAAGTTATGGCATTTCCGATCAATCAGTTATATGGCAGCTATAGGATATAGTCGGCCGATCCCGGCCGTTCCGACATATATACTGCGTGCAAAGGAAAGAAGGCTGTGTGCAAAGTTTCAACTCGATAGCTTTAAAACTGAGAGACTAGTTTGCGTAGAAACAGACAGACGGACAGACGGACATGGCTATATCAACTCAGGAGGTGATCCTGATCAAGAATATATATACTTTATAGGGTCGGAGATGTCTCCTTCACTGCGTTGCACACTTTTGACCAAAATTATAATACCCTCTGCAAGGGTATAAAAATAGACCCAACAAAAACAAAAGGCTTAATATTAATAAGAGTGTATTAAAAATAAACTATAGACAGAATCAAAGTATACGTACTAATTCAATACTAAATAATATGAGGCATATACTTTGCAATTTCAATTCTATACCTAAGAGTTTACAATAGTTTAAATTCTAAGCCGGAGTTTCAAGTTTGTGTTTGAAACAAGGACAACTGAGATCGTTCGAACACGAAAAGCGTTAAATCATTTTAGTGTTTTTCGTGGAGTTAGTTACTTAATGCGCATTCTGGAAAAATTGTGCCGATTGACAAGAAAGGAAGTTTATATACACTCATAGCAAAATTAACCGTAAATTTTAGAAATTCGCCATATAACTTTTTTTTCTGTAAATCCAAGAAAATATTTATACTTTCAAGGAATTTTTTACTACAAAAGAATAAAACTTTACTTGAATCAAGAAAGTTTTTCTCAAATGTAGAAATTGTCGCCATAAACTAAACTCGCCCTATATACAAGAAAAAATGTCTACATTTTAGTTAAAATGGTACTTGTTTTCAGATTTGTATATCCTTGCAAAGGGTATTATAATTTTGGTCAAAAGTGTGCTGACCCTATAGAGTATGTATATTCTTGATCAGGATCGCCACCTGAGTTGACATAAGCATGTCCGTCTGTCTGTTTCTACGAAAACGAGTCTCTCAGTTTTAAAGATATCGAATATCGAAGTTAGCTTTCCTTTCTTGTTTATTCTTAAAATGAAAAATTCCGCCCTAAAAAATAGAAAAAATTTCTGAAATTAACCTTAACAAGAAAAGAAGCAAACTTCGGCAAGCCGAAGTTTATATACCCTCGTTTATACCATCGTTTCAATGGCAGCTATATGATATTGTTGTCCGATTTTATTTTGATTAACATCGTAACTCCATAATATTTAAATATTACCGAATCTCAAAGAACAACAAAAAAAAATTTATAAACAAAGTATAATTTTTTAAAATTTTTTTTCCGGTTGTTCCTATGGGAGCTATATGATATAATCGCCCGATCTGGCTCGTTCCGACTTATATACTATAGTATATATATTGCAGGTATACCTGCAATAGAAAGACAACTTTTGGGAAAGTTTCAAGCAGAAAGCTTTAAAACTGAGGGACTAGGTTGCGTAGAAACGGACGGACAGAAGGTCTTGGCTAGATCGACTCTCCTGGTGATGCTGATCAATATACATACTTTATAGAGTCGGAAATGTCTCCTTCACTGCGTTGCAAACTTTTGACTACCAAAATTCATAAGGATCGGCCGACTATATCCTATAGCTGGCATATAACTGAACGATTGGAAATGCCATAACTTTGGTGTTTTTAAAGTTGGGATTTTTATTGGTTTTATTTTTGGAATTTTACGGAATTTTCTGCAACGGTATATCAACAGAGGCTCCGCCCGAAGTTAGTTTTCCTTTCTTGTTTTTACTTGTGTTATAAACACAAATGGGAAATAATGTTTAGAACGACTAAAAGTTTTACCTTTTATTTAAAAGTAATTAAAATATTTTTTATCATATGAAATATCATCTTAGAGTCTTAAGGAGTTCAAAAAAAATATATTAAACTAATATTCTTCGCTAACGCCCCATCATATAGTCCTTGGTTTTGCCGTGCGTTCATCGCGTGCGACCGTTGCTCTATTCGATGTCTTTGAATTCACGCGGGGGAAATCTGGGTTCGAAACCCACCGACGGACGCATAAGTTTTTTCGGATAGATAGATACTTATCGGAGTTTACTTGAAAGAACTGAAATAAATCGTGATTGTACACAATTTCTCTCTCTTCCCCCCACAGAATTCTAGTTGAAATCGATCTTGGCAATTCATTAGTGCAAAACTAATACAAACTTTGTGACTTTTCTGAATGAAAAGCGAAGTGCTTAAATCAAATACATATACACACATACATAAATCCTGAATGAAAAATTACATCATGATGAATAAAATTGTAAACCCTTGCAGAGGGTATTATAGTTTGAGTCAAAAGCTTGCAACGCAGCGAAGGAGACATTTCTGACCCTATAAAGTATATAAATTCTTGATCAGCATCACCAGGAGAGTCGATCTAGACATATCCGTCTGTCCGTCCTTCCGTCCGTTTCTACGGAAACTAGTCCCTCAGTTTAAAACCTATCTGCTTGAAACTTTCCTAAAAGTTGTCTGTTTTATTGCAGGAACATAAAAATCGAAATGTAGTTGTTTTGTAATAACTGATAGGGTATATGAAAGGGTATGCTTCCTTTCTTGTTATTTTTAAGCTCGATTAGAATTTAATATAATTTTTCATCATAAAGTAATTCTTTTACTTAAACTAATCTCAACAATCCACAAGATATTCGTTTTTCTACAGCTTTTTCTTGATTGGGAATATAGGACCTCTGTTGTATCCGTTAACAACTGCAAACAGCACTTAACACTTGCTTAAAATTCGGTATAAATTAACAACGTTTTCCTATGAATTAAATTCACTAGTGTAATGTTGAAATTTATTTATATTTTGTATTTATATATTTTTTCTGGAGTAATCGCTGTTCCTACAAATCTTGTGCATAAAGTATATATCTTAATGATATATATATGGGACTATTTCCATGTTAAGAATTGTTATCACTTACGGGATTTGCGCTCGCGTATAGATACAAACATGTAAATATGTGTATATATACATATGTATATGTTGGCGGTGATGATAAATAAAACGTTTATTCCCAGTTTTAAGTGGACTGTATTTAGGTTTTCTAAATCGTAGCAGCTTTGTATCCGGCATGTTCTGTGGTAGTCTTAATACTAAGAAAAAAGTTGTGACGCAGCTCGAAAATAAATCGCTAAAAAAAAAATACCAATTTAATCCTTCAAAAACAAACTAAACTTATATAACGGTTGCAATGCGTTCATCAACAACCCGGGCCGGCCTGAAACATGGTTTCAGAATTTGGCAGTACTGCTAACTTGGTAATGAATTATGCCTACGCCGCGTACAAGTCCATCTGGTCCAGGATAAGCTTCCAATGCACGGGCTAGTATCCATTAAAAATGGATACAAGTAAGTATATGAAGTCAGTGTCAGGTGTGTAGCAAAACGGTCGCGAGTTCACAAAATCAAAGTTTGCATTTGTTCAAACGTTAAGATTGTCTTTCCCACGACGCGACGAAGCTGCATCATTGGCCAAGAATTGGTCTACACTGTGTTGATGCTCCTGCGAAGATAAAGTTGCTGCATCTTATCTACTGCCCGTTTGGCACCCACAAAAATTTGTCCCGCTAACGCTGTAGATTTGCGAACATTTTCCTCGAAGGAACTTGAAACGTCGAAGACATGCTAAGAAGGTATTTGTGCTGAGGTCGGTGGACAGTTCCAGGTGTAAAGCTGAGGTTACAAGGCAGGCGACCAGGCATAGTTAACCCTTAGTTTTTTGGGGACTACGTCCTATCCTTTCCTTAAGAATCAATGGTGCAGCTTAATTACAGCCTGAGTTCTGGAAGGGCAGGGCCTGGTTATGCGAATGCCTGGTAGATCGGCCATGAATTGGTGCGCTGTTTGATTACGTTGGCGAAAACA